GACAAACAGGTAGCTTGCCACATGGCTGCATGAACATAACTTAGCCATTCGCCGTCACGATCAAAATACCTTGATGTCAGTGCATAAGGATGCCGAAAACCACCAGTTCGAACTTCAGCATGTCGAAATCCTCGGATGAGCCACAAGTCAACAAGCAAGTGGGTTTATTGAAGCATGGTATTTAAGGCAAAATGTGACCAATAAGCATTTAGATCTCGAGGTCGCTTAAGAGTGTCTGCGAAATAGACCCTTAAAGTCACACTGACGATGTTGCCTAGTCTGACAACGTAACGTCCGCAAAAGGATCATTTCGCTCGGAGAGTAGTGCAAAACCCGTATCCACATACCGAGCTATGGATATTTTCAACCATTTTGTAATCGACTCGGTTTACTGAAATGCACGTATTTGCTGTGCTCGTGCATCGTTAGGCTTCTTGCGATGAGACAACTTAGTCTGCATGTGTTTAACACTGGTAAGCGATTATAATGCATCTTACGGTTTGTCGGAGTAAGGCTAATGGGGATCTGAATATCATTAGTCCAATTGTGACATAGTTTTAAAGTACAGACTGGGTTTGCTGAAAAACCTCCTCATGGGGCCAGCTGGATGGCTCGGGCTTATCCCGTCCAAGCAAATAATTTGCTGGCAGTGTTCCAAGACGTGGTGGATTTTTGTCTCGCAAACGTTCTCCCTAAAAAGCCATATATATTCGTCAAACAATGCTGAGAATTGGCGGATGTGACTCGCTAATAAATAAAGTCACTTCCCCTTGCTTTACTCTGGTGAAGCCTTGTACCTAGCACCGTGAAGCTCGAATTATGTTTAGGACTGGACCCAGGTTTATCAATTGACCAAACGAAGGGCGTATGAAATGAGCAAACTGTCACCCGCGCTCAACAGAGGCGCGATTCCCTGAAATCGCCCCCACTGTCTTGCGGACAGTTTATTCAACCAAAGTTTCGGCGTAGTGTCCCAAAAGCCCACACCCTACTTCGGCTTGATCAACCTGGTGGTATCTCGCCCTCTGAAGAAATCGCTGATTTCTCTGTCTTAGGTTGGATTTTCTTTTTATGACATCTATGCTTTCCTTTGATTTCCATGGTTTTGATGGCTTTTTGTCTATGCGCAGACTGATGCTTATAAAAGTGTCAAACTTTGTTAGTTCCGAGTCGTAGGCGAGTAGTCATCAGTCGCGCGCTGATAATTGTGGTTCACCCACCAGCACGCCATTTAGAAGATCAGAGTTTGCAAATCCGACCCCATGATCTCGTAGTTCTGAGGCAGCGTTGACCCACCCAGTAGAATGTGTAGCCAGCACTGCTTCATGCAACTTACCTTGCTCAGCGAGCCGAGTTTCACTGAGCGCTACAATATCGATGTGGTAGCATGCCAGTTCCATCGCGACGAGTGCAGTGCGTCACTCACTCGAGTTCCGGTACACTAGTGTGTACACGACCGGGATCCGATGCTGAGTGCTGTGCGCGCAGGCATACGATTGCATTGGTGGGCAATCGCATGCGACGTGGCGGTTGTGCTTCGGAGGTTTGCTTGAGGGACTCCACCCGGAGACTTTTACTTACTAGCCTGACCCAAAAGGCAGTGGGGAGCAAATCCAGCTCGGGAATGTGATTGCAGAGGCAGATTGGGATCTGCTTGACGGCCGTCACATGCAGCCTTTAAGGTACTGGAACGATTTATCTATGTTTTCCGACCGTAGTAGGATACGCACCTGTGACCTGTGAGGTTTGGCGGGTTGGCACCGATTTGACCAGGGGCTGCATGGCTTGAGGCGGGCAGTAGCAAACCATTGAACACCCGGTGGTGCCCTCCCAAAGCCAGAGACAATGCGTGGCGCTCGTGCTCTACGCCAATCGAGGTATGAGCTTATAACCCGTAGACCTGTTTTCTCCCATGGCTAGGTTTTACGCGAAGAGGGATATAGACCACTTCTTAACCTCAGAAGAGGATGGACTAGGATACTGGCAGGAGGCCCACATCTGACAGAAGAACGACTAGGGTCATCAGCCAAAGCATTAGATTAAATGTACACCCGAAAGGCAGCGGATCTAGCACATGCTCAGTTCACTGACTCATGTGGATTGGTGTCCTGGATCTTAGCATCAATGACCACCAAAGCTATTCGTGTGCAGCTGCAAATGGTTTACGGAATTGTCTGCCATTTCCGTGAAATAATTTGGTTACTGGTAGTAAAGTTAGTTGAGCGTTTGGTTGAAAATATGCGATCATCTTCCGCACACAACTACCGAATATTACGGATGCAACAGCAACAGTTTGCATTTGACAACAGGTTGTAAAAGGACTTGGTGCATACAGCAGCTGAGAAAGAAGTCCGTCTTGACTTGCTTTGCAAGAGTGATTTCCCTAAACTGAAGACCACGAAACGTTTAATTTCTGTTACACAGCGAAGTTAACATGCTGCTGAAGTGATGATCACTAACCGAAATGATAATTTGGCTGATCCATCGACGAAAGAAGCCCAGCAGATCGGGCCAAATGACCCTGCATATACCAATTAGTGTGTGGCTGCGGATCAGTTACATAGGCAGAACCAATCGGTCTTTGACTTCCTGAATAAAGGAATACGTGCCGAGGTGAGTTCAACGTGAAATTGAATGGCAGCCCTGCTCCCCTGAATCTTAGTGCTCGCGCAGACCGCCAGCTTCCTTAACAGGTGACACCTCCTAGCCACGCGGCACTGGATACAGCTGGGATCAGCGTTCACAATCGTGTTACGTCACCCTAATCAACACTTCCTCTGTTTAGCCGAGACCGAGGCAATAAGCCGGATGAAGCTAGCCCTGTGGTCAAAACAATTCTTTGTGACTTTATAACTGCCATACACATAGGGATGGAGCTTGCATCATTCATCTTGCATTTCAAGCTTGTTTGGTCACACCAATAGTTACTTATATCTTTGCATCCCAGTTGTTGTTAATGGTACTGACGAGCCAATACGAAATGCATGCATCCACCAGGTTTTGTCTTCTTACCGTATTGTTCAAATTGCTACAGCGTACTAACTGTTGTAATCCTTGTCTAGGTGCTTGAGTAAAATAGCCAATCGCCATCCTCATTCCATATTTGAAGGTGACGAATAAAATGAGACTTTAAGGAGGCACTCGCTCTGTCCTGTGTGAAGTTATTCTATGGACGACAAGCGCGTATTCGAAGAACCTGGACAGAAGAATTGAGATCATGGTTGGTCAGCAGAAGGAACGGTGACGATCAAGAATCACTTGTCTCTGGTTGATATTCAGCTAGGTGGATCGGAGTAAGAATCTCATCAAACGCTATATAAATCAGCTTTTATGTGTCAAATCAACCAAACTTAACGACCGTTTAGTTCCAATTAGGTTCGGAAGCAGGGAAATAGATTTTAGGTCAGTTTGTCGAAACACTGCGCTTTCTAGTTAGACGGAAACCGTGAGCGGGGTGATTTGCGTGGATTTGATGAAACGACCCAATTCGGCTTCGAGTGCCATGCGTATTACCATCACAAAAAACGTGCCACATTTCATCAAAAGCGAAAAGCGGTTTCAGATCTTGACAAATCACCCCATGGAAGATTTAACGAGACACACCGCAACCGGAAGTTAGGATGGGCCTTTCTGCTCGACTGGTATACGCACAAAACGCACAGACAAACAATTCCGTCTCATACCCTTCATTACCTCCTTGGAGTGGTAAGTGCAGAGTTGTCAGACTGGATACGCCTTCGTTACGGAGCACTTGAACAAACCTTGTATTCTTGCTACAAATCTAAGATCATCACAACAAGAACACATGTAACCCTAAAAACCTAAGAGGAAACGCTTGCCATTAGTTGTAGATCAGTCTCTAATCGATCAATTTATAGAAAGCTCGCTGTAAGTTCCCATCCTTGTCCATCAGACAGATTAGCAGCGGATAGTGGGGTAGCGAACAGCAACATTATACAATTCCGCCTCGTCTAGAACAATTGTTATGAAGTGCCGGAGTACAGGTATTCGAAGACATCTGAACAGCCGAAGACAAGCTATGGGGATACACACCCAACCGGTTCCAGCAGCACAATCATGCGAACAAGCCTGTTATCATAAGTACCTACATCTCGTTTAGATCGGTCCAAAAGATAGCGGTCCAAAACAAAAGAACCGAATGCCAGAAATCTTTTGAGTCATTGTGATTGCGACATGCACGATAGAGATGATCACGAAGTCCACTATTTAGGGAGCAAGTGTATATGAACACGACCGAGACTCCTGAGGTTGAAAGCAAGACAGTGAGTATTACAAGGTCAGGCAAACACATAATCACCGCTGAACTGGTTAGGGCGAGGGAGTCAACGGTTGGTTAGGCGACCGTGTGATGCATACGAAGCCATTGAATATATCCTCCAGGGTCCACACAATAAACAGTATCAAGATGTGAACTAGATTATGACGAAGAGAATTACCACTCACAAATTAACAAGTTGGGGATAATTCAAGTCGGCCAGTTAAGCGAAAACCGTGAAAATCTGGAGTTGCAACTGCTCGACTTCAAGTATTCCAACAAAAGAGCCCCTTGCATCCAAAGTGAACAAATATTGGAAAGATGCATTTGATGTTTTGCGTCACCAGAAAGCCAGAGAGAAAATAGAGCAAGAATACACGCTCAACCACATCACAACAAAATAGGTATGGTCCACTGAGACAGGTAATTCTTTCGAAATAAGCTAAACAAGGATGACGACGGATGAGAATTCCAGCAAAACATTGTAACATGTGGTCTATGTTCCAAAGAAGATGAAAAATATCTGACAGTGGTCAATATAAGATGAAATAGATATCGTGGACACAGCACAGGACAAGGTGTTTAGAGTGTTACAAGGTAAACCGATTCGAAATCAAGAGGGAGGGCACGATGAAAGTAGCGACGAGATTGCACGATGAGGAGAACGCGTTACTCCACCGGATGGAGCTCCAAATTCACCGATTACTTGATATGATCCAGCGCATTATTCGTTCAGAGCACGATGTTCAGGAGAGACCTCTTCAACTCGACGATAATTCGGATGTGTGATCAGGAAATAGACTAGATAACCGAACAACACGATGCAGACACCGAGGGCATTTCCAATCATCTCCCGAGGAAGAAATAGGCTGTATCTGTGTATGAAAATTAGACAATCCTGTTGTGTCAATCAACGTCCGTCAAACAATGTTAGTACAAAAAGCGGAGCATAAAGTTTAGAAGCATGTATAAAGCTGTACGTTTCGGTCAAGCTCGTTCATATACCAACCAGGTTTGTAAAGTTAATAAAACAGGACTCAAGCATTGTAACGTAATGGACCAGTTGGCTACATTTAAGGCAAGTAAAAGTGCCAGGCAGCGAATGTAGTCGGATTCCTGTTCCGAAAAACAACACAAACGGGCTGGGTTTACTGTACGGTTGTGAAACCCGGCCCGGATCAGATGACATAAAAAGGTTAGTTACATTCGACCACCGTTGCCTTCGCAATTTGGCTCACATCTGGTGGGAATACCGAGTAAGCAATAAGCGTGTTCGACGCCTCGTTTACGGTACATGCAAAGGAAATGAACCGCTCAGCACCGTTATTTCACGCATCAGGCTCAGATGGCTAGGCCACCTGTTACGCATGCCAGCCTACCGACTCCCGCGACCTGCGTTGTTTGCGCGCTGAGGGTGTGGACAGAAGAAGAGGAGGTGGTGGCCAAGCGATGACTTGGTCGAGAGGAATCAACGCCCTCATTTCGAAGCTGGCCTCGGTTGGAGCGTCTCGGCTCCCTGGTTGGGGTTCGAAAGATGATGAACACGTTTGTCTGGATACACTTGCTGACATGGTTAGGAGACGACCTCCATGGCTTTCGTGCTGTGAGTTTCTTTGTTCCACCCCATCCCTCTTAGTCTCCCATTCCAACCACGATCTCACTATTCAGCCTTATATAATTTTGTATAGTAAAATTTTGCTGCATAATAGCCGGCTGGTAACTTACCGGGACGATGTCCTCCGTTACCGGTAGCTCAGCTGGCTCGCAATTGTTGAATTTTACTCCATTTTTCTTTCAGGCATCGCGGCACAGTAGCTGAGGAGTTTCCCACCACTAGCTAACATGTATAATGATGATGATATATATTCAGTCTCTTAACAGTCGTGGTGCGGTCAGAACCATGGCAGAAAAATGGAGAGAATAGAGACACGAAATGCGATAAAAAGAGGAAAACAATTTTTGGTTTTACACCAGCCATTTTGAGTTCTGTTTTTGTTTCCTCAGTTTTTGTGTGCACTAAAGGAAGATAAGATGGTAGAACAACATTGACGCCATTGATATCTGTTGCGGACCATGACCACTGAGATTCAGCATTGCGTGGTCCCCATGCTGGAAGAAGGACTGGTCCGACTACCGACAAACTTGAGGTTGCCTTCTTCATAATCCTTCTCCACGTCATTGGCTGTCCACCACAGCACATTTTCCAATCGCTTCCTCGGAGTGTAAACAGTGTTTGAGGTGTAAGTCGTTGGGTTGGCATGCGTAAAACATGCCCAAACCAACGCCTGCGATGTCGGAAAATATGGTTCTGAAGACTGGCACTACTCGCTCCAAGCACATGGTCACGGATCTCCGCGTTGTTTACGTGGTGTTGCCACCACACCAGAGCAATCCTTCGTAGATAGCGATTGTCGAAGACTGACAACCGCTTCATGTCTTCCGAGCAAATGGGCCAAGTCTCACAGTCGTACAAGAGTACTGCACGGACAGAAGCATAGTACACACAGCCCTTGAGCTTGAGATTGACATCACGACGATGCCATAGCTGTCTCAGTTTTATGAATGCAAGGCGGTCCTCTGCAATCGGTTGTGAGACCATCTCCAACACCGCCACCTGCCGTGATGCAACTCCCTAGATAAGTAAAGCAAAGGACTTGCTCCAGAACATGTCCAGCAATGGTAAGCGCAGGTTCATGCACCTGCCAATATTGGGGCAGAGTTTTACATTTCCCCGGAGTGAAGCATAAGCCGTAGTTAGACGCCTCCATTGCTAAGCGGTCCAAAGCGCTCTGGACGGTTAATGGGTAGTCCCCCAACAAGACGATAGCATCGGCGTAATCCTAGTCCATGACTCTGTCTCCAGGGAGGAGCACAACACTGCAATTCTGGACACCTTCCAGTGCTACTTGGACGACATGTTCGATGGCAAAATTGAAAACAAAAGGTGAAATAGGGCAATCCTGGCGAACACCGCTGGTCACAGCAAACGAAGAAGAGAACGTGCTGTAAACCTTGACTTTGCCCGACCTTCGGCCGTAAAGTTCTATCAGGATGGTTACAAACATTTCGGGCACACCTTTCTTCAGTAAACAATTCCATAATGCGGATCTATCTACTGAATCAAATGCCACTCGCGGGTCCAAGAACACTACGATTGTTGGCCGCCGGTGGATGTGACGGAGTTCGAGAAGTTGGCGGAACGTGAAGATTTGGTCGATGCAGCCGCGACCTGAACGAAATGCAGCTTGTTCTTCTAGGGCAAACTCCACTCTAGTCGGTGAAAGACTGCGAAGTAGGACCGACACGAAGATTTTGGATGCGACAAAGCCTAACGAGATTCCGCGGTAGTTAAGGCAATCGCCGCAGGAGACACTTTTGTGAATCGGAACAATGACCGATTCTCCCCATGAGTTCGGAACCTACTCCTCAGTCCAAACTTGCACGAACAGCTATAGGATTTCGATGACAAGTACGCTTTCGCCATCTTTGAATAGAGCCGGTGGTAGGCTGTCGAGACCAGGAGCCTTGTGGCGTTTCAAAGGTTGGATTGCATCTCGGATGTTCGCTTCAGTAGGGGGGCCTGTGGAGACAGGCCAAACATCATTCATTGGGGCTGGGAGTGCCACAGGAGGCTGTGTTGGGTGGTTGAAGTGAAGAGTGAAATGCTCTGCCCAGCGACCCAATCGCCTGTGAAAGTTAGTGATCTTCATGCCGTCTGATTCGTAAGTCGTCTGGTTGATAGCGTGGGAATTGCAACCGGTGGCCCTGATGATGCAAAATAGACGGCGGAAATTACCAGCCGATACAGCGGCTTCCATCTCATCAGCTCGTTTTGACCACCAGCATTCATGATCGGAGCGAAGACTTGTTTTCAGCTGTTGCGTACTAGACCGGCGGTGTTCGTTGTGCTCTGCACCAGCAAGCACCGCCCGTCGGAGATCCAGCGATTCCAAGGATCTACCCGAGATCCAGCTTTTGGGAGTGAAGCAAGCGAGGGCGCAGATGGACAAACCGGCCAACAGTATGGCTTGTTACAGATTTGACCAGTGTTGACCAACCTCCAGAGTGGGAGAGGCAGCGAGATTTTCACGAAGCCTTTGTCGATTGTCCTACTTCACTACGGATTACTCCACCTTGTAGATGTTCAGTCGCGTGTGTTTGGACCTAGGTGAACCACCGAAACGCACGCAAATGGTCGCACATACCAGTGCATGATCGGTTGACCAAGATGATCGGCAGTCGCGTACGATGCCGCGCAACCTGCGACTTATAGCTATGTGGTCAATCTGTGAACAGCGTTGGGTTGATGATGGGGGTGCCAAGTGGCGTAATGGCGTCCAGGATGACGAAAAGTCGTGCTGGAGAGGAAAAGCTGATGATTAGCACACAGACTGAGCAGTCTCTCTGTTGTCTGAGCGAACATCATCATATCCATGGGGTCCCCCGAGGTGGCGCTCACATGGCGGCAGCCGACCGACACACGTCTTGGAGTCTCCGGCCAAAACATGGATGTCTGTTTTAGGAGCCCTTTAAAGCAGCTCATGAAGGTTCCGGTAGAACTGGTCCTCGAATGTGTCCGAGCTACAGTCAGTGGGCGCGTAGGCAGAGATCACGAAGACAGCACGCTTTTCGACTCGACGTCTGCTAACTTTACAAGAGCCATGGAGCCTCATCACACAAAAGCGACTATTGATTGGAATCAACCAATCAGAGCAGCCTAGGTTCTAGCACTAAGGGCGAATACAACACCAGGTTTCCCAGGTGCGGCAGACTCGGCGTCACCAGAGAGGCGGAGATGGAAACGGGTGCGTGGGTGGAGCGGTGACGCCAGCTGGTAGACCGAGTTGGAGTCATGGAGCCGCCTTTCACTTAGGCAGCAGACAGCAATTCCAAGGGTCTCTAGCGTGGGTGCAAGTCCAGCTTGCTGACCGATCTGCAGCAATGTGCATACGTTGAACATTGCAAGTTTGAACTGCGTTCCGGGTTGCAGGAGCGAAGATGGGAGACTTCGGGGCTGGCAGTTCCCTGTTGAGCACTGTGTGGTTGAGACGGCAGATGTCACGGGAACAGGTACATCAGTGGACGTGGGATTGACCGCCGTAGGGGAAACAGGTAAAATGGGTGTGAATGGTACAAGGGAAAGGTAGATAAGATGGTAGCGTGTGCTTGTGAAGTTGGCATAGTAAGATGAGTGAATAGCATCGTAGCAGCAAGAGAGCTTGTGAATGGTGGTAGTTGTAAGTCCATGGTCCGTCAGTAGGCGAGATACTACCCGGTTGCGTAGGCCGAGGTAGGTAGGATGTCTTAGGGTACCACCGCCCCCAGGCCCTTGGCCAAAGGGCCTAACCCACAAGGCAGCAGGGCGAGATGAGTGATTCGCACCCGTTGGGAGCCGGTGGCTGGACTCTCGGTTCATACCTCTTTCGGATGACGATAAGCCATGCCGGAGGTCCGACACTCCAGAAGTCAGAGACAAGATCCGATGCTCGGATTGCTTGCCGGTGTGCAATATCTCTAAAGGAGACATGCTGTTGCATCATGAAATCTTGTCGCGCCGACGACTGGATGGTAATGAATCCCAAACGTCTCCGGTTTGGATCTGCGTAGGCGCAACGGATCACACAGTATTCCTGGTCCGCCCACGACTAGTGGTTATCCTGTGACAGCGAAGCGTCGGTGTGCCGTACCGGCCTTCCATTTTCTTGCTTTGCTGCAAATGCTCCAACTGCTTACACTGGCTAGGGTATACCCTCGGCCCACTCGCAATCACGCTGCATCATACCGTGCTTCGCTGGATAAAATCTCGAGGTGCTAAGCCAATGACGGTGAAAAGAGCAGAAAAAACTCGTCGTTGTGCGCCGATTTCCCGAATATGATCTTCGATATCAGCCACATCAATAGCCAAATAACCTATGGGGAAGTACGATGTATTCGTTGGATGATTTCCGACTTTTACCTAATCTATCTAAGGGTCATGGTATATTTTATTTCGCCCCTGGCAAACTGACTATTCTCCACCCGTTTTCGTTGCATTTCTTATTACTGAAGCCATGTGGAACAATGGAACTGGAATCACCGCAACTCGGCGCACGATTCAAAGCGAGTCTGCAATAAACCAGTGAAGATCCGAAGACGAAAGAGACACCAGGGAGGTCGGGTGACGAGTGAAGAATCAGTTGAGCCTGCTTTTGATCGAGCAAACAGCCAAGTGCACACCTGATGAGTCCAAAGAAGGACGAAACCGTATAGAGAGGACGAACATCGGTCCCGGTCCTGGTGGTCGTTATGACCGAGGTTTACTTCCAGTTAAACCGAGGTCTCAATATAGGGAATGCGTGTTGCAATCCAACAAACCACACTGTCGGTATTTCAAACTCAACTGTAAAGTTGATCATACAGTTTAAAAAACTAGGAGACGGACAAGATCCACTAATCAAATAACAATCTTTCGGCTGTCAAATTGAACAGACAGACAAACAGTTGAGGAGACATTGGCTAATCAAATATTTTCCAAAGCTAATGATGAGTTGGCCAAATTGATCTTCCGAACACCCGTGCAAAAAAGTCGAACAAATGAATGAAATGGAATATCCGATCTAATGGAACGGCGATGAACAGCCGGGTGTGATTCTGCACGGTATTTCATGCTGGATCTGGTTTGCACACGAACAGAAGAAACGCCAGAAACGGCGACCTCAACGTTGGACAATGCAGTTGAGCATCGATCATACGCTAACCATTTAGCTGGATCAGCGCAAATAATTCCGTACGCGAGTAACGGATGAAACGTCTAAAATAGGACACAGGTACTGCGCCGGAATCACGAAATGACGCAGGTCTGGCACAACACGCCGAGTGAAGTGAAGAACGGACCTCGATCGAAATGCAACTCACTGAGCGGGTACAATTAGCAGCCACACATTGTGAATCAGTCAATTATAAAACGGAGAGAACTAGAGCGAATTGACTAGTAGATTAAACTCCTGCCTCCAAATGTTTGCCAAAACTCATCCAACAATGACGGTCTCAAACAGCGAAATTCCACTGCGCACATGTGTGCTCTAATTTCGCGCCCCGATTGTTTTTGGCAAAGATCGTAAAAAGCTTAAGCACATTAGGGGAAACCGATTCCAATGGAAAATAGAGTTGCCAATGCGAAAACGTTTCGAGTAGGTATAAGGTAAATTTTTCGCAAGTTGGATCGTCGGAGAATATCGAACAGACCAGCAAGCCTAAAACTGAGCAATGATGGGCAGGCGATGAAGCCTCTGTCACGTGTCGTTTAATGGGGGATGCAGCTGTCAGTCAGGGCTAACACTGCGATCCGCTCTCTCCTAAAAATAGCAACCAATGAGGAATACGGAGGCTGATGGTCGAATCGTCAACGTAACTGTGCAACAATCACACCTCCGTTTTGAGGAAACTCAAACTTTTGTCTTAGCTACTATCTACGGGTGAAGTGACTTACTGTTTTTCGAAAAAGTTTTTCTCTGTGATACCGGAGACACACACGGCAACGACCAAGAGAAATAGGAAGCTGCCAGATGCAACGTGGATAGGCAAGACTTTCGCCCTCACTCTTTGGGGGATTTGAGGAAGAAGGAAAGAAATGAGGCCGCCAATCCACTATTGGTAGAGAACGAAAAGGAGAGCAATGTTACCACAGTGTGTTGTATATGGATGAGAGGTAATAGGTTAGGAAAAGTGAAATCACAAGCAAGCAATTCCCGGATTGTTAGGTAGTTGTTAGAAGACATAACTAGAATGCGTATAAAATGTTTCAAATGGTTGTTATTATCGAAAACGGTGGGAAACGAAGCGGAAGGAAAGGAAATCGGTTTTGAGATCCCTCAGAATACTTCAATAGTGCTTCATCGCGAAAATGCCACCTGATTCGCTTACCACACAAATCCAATCTGTAAGCTACAAAAGTGTTAATAAGGTTAAAGACCGGTCAAGAAGGAATGTATTTAGAAATGACGATGGAACGTGTTACCGACCGTTTAAAAATAAAATGGCAGAAAAGAACGGGATTTCTCGTGGAATAAGTTAAAGTCGACGACTTAGCGCATGGCTATCGGCTTCGTGCACACACCAGACGGAAAACTTCATTTCCGTAATGGGAATGATATGTGGATAGGCCACTCGCAGCATGAAGCCCCGTTGTGGTCAAATGTCAGTTGACTCAATCCAACATTCCGCTCAGTGGAAATCAGCAAAGTGCGGACTGTCACAAGTTCCGTACAAGTACAAATATAATGTGGACCACCGATGCATAAAAGTTTAAGCAATATTCGGATACCGAGGAACCCGAATAACTATGCGTTAGACGTGCCCCGTACGATGCTAAATCAGCCTCAACATTGCCAAACAAATATGAAAAGTACAGGGGGAAAATGAAAATTACTAGTAGCAAAGCAGATAGACGCCAATCCGAGGGAACAATTTGGCGCAGTGACCAAACCAACCTTGCGCTGTTGAGAGAGCTATGTTGAAAGACCACTGCAAATGTGTGGGCGGCTACAGCGAAATGATTGCGCATTGGTATCGAAGTTCCACAAAAGTTGGTAGAATACGTAATGGAAAAACAACATCCAGTTTGACAAATGTAATAGATGAATGGGGATTCAAATCGTTTCGTTCATGAGATAACAGGACACTCGAAAGAAGGCAAACGGAGGAGACAACAGTTGTTGAATAGAGACCTGAAAGTTACTACACACTCGAATACACACCACCGCACTATGTTGATGTGGTGTTGCATGAATTGAGGCTGGATAGACCACACTCACAAGGCGTCGCTCACCCAGTAACCTCGTCCATTGCAGCTGCGATAATAAGAGTGCTAGTCAGACCGAGCAAAGGCCGCCAAAAGACAAAAAATCTTAGTAAACTGTGAATAACTAAGCCACTCACCAACCCGACTTATTCCTTCAGTGAGTGTCTTCATGCCCCGCTGTCACGCCATTGATTGACAATCTCGGGGTACAGATGTAACTAGAAGGCAGCAGCAACAGGCCGGCACAGAGTACAGACACTTCGCTGCCACGCGATTACCACCACCGGCGGGAGGGCTGAGTATACCTCGAGGTGGCTCGCAACTAAGTGGATTCGAACCGCCGACCTTAGGAGTACAACGCGCTTTCGGTCACAGTGCAGTCCAACAGTAAACGTCGAATCAATGGCAGGTACACAGAGAATGTGACCGAACACAGTTCCACGCGCACCCCGAGACACCGACGATATGTTGCCCAACATCGGCGTTGCTCGTTTGGTTCTCTCATCAGAGATGAGAAAGTTACAATTGTCGAACACGGTCAGTCTCGAAGATGAGAATGGTGGCTGACTCAGAAAGCATTCCTCATTATATGGGACTGTGTCTAACAGTGTGGACAACGCTAGCGAATCTTCACCATCCTTCGGCAGTGTTGGTAAAAGGTCACCCGAACTAGGTGCCTTATTGCACAACAATAGTACTAACTCATGCAGGGTCTAAACAACGGTGAGAATTGCCGCGTCCACATACTAAGTCGGTTCAGGTGACACCGATAACACTTAGGATAAGTTGGTTAGGTCGAATTAGCCTCAAACCTCAGCCCAGCGTTCCAACCATTGTGACCGAGAGTGAATGATTCGTCCGCCTCTTTCGGTTATTGTCGCACTCACGCGGTGCTCCCAATGGCGTTGCTTAACTCTATCTCACGGCCCCTAGCCAATGTTCACAGTCTATTCTCAAACTTCTCCTCAAATGACACTTCCTTACTACGAAGATCATGGTACTGACATTCCCATGGACTCGACTTGAATTATGTAAGAGTAATGGAAGCTCACCATTTGGATGACTTTACTTGGACGAACAAGCGATATCGAGTGTATTTTAGAACAACATTAGAGACTTTCTAGTTCAGCGGTGACAACCGCCGTCGTAACGAACACGGATATTGCTACCTCACGGATACCGAGCAAGTGTCTTTGAAGATGAATATTTAACCGGAGAGAGAAGAGGTAGTGGTTAAGTGCATTGAAGAGAACATGGGCAAGATGGAGAAGAATGCGCTGAAGCGCGCCATCTATGGTTGACGGTCAATTCGAGTTCATGTAAGTTTGTCGTCTAGTGGGCGCAACGTAATTCGATGCGAGTACTTGTGCTATAAAACTGTGTTACTGATAACGCGTTTGTGAGCGGTGCACAGATGAAGAGTGACGTCACCAGTACCACAGTACGAGGGACATTCACAACGAAACTGGCCTGAGGAGAAATTACCATTCTGATTAGCGACAAACTCGAGCATTCATGTTGCTTAAAGTTACTACGATTTCCGTAGAAAAGGACATACGGAAAAGCATTCTACGTTTAAGTAGAAATAAATCACATCTATACTCAGTCAGACAGGCATCAAATGCCTGAAAAACACTGTACAGCCGTTTCATCCCTACATGAATCGTCAGCAGTGTGCATTCAGTCTGGTCCTTGTGATGTTAGAACCCGCAACCCGAATGATACCAGTCCGCGGATAAGAACACGGAGTTACGGGGAAATGTAACACCCGATGTAATTAAGTTACTAATATGATAGAACGCCGCTCCCTATACACTGAATTGCACATTACTGACTTCTTGCTTTCAGCTTCTCTACATTCAAATTGCATTTAACTCCAATACATGAATTGTTATTGCTTGTGGTGCTTTCCGGACTAGGTTGTGCTAAGTAGCTTGTGAACTACTGGGATGAATACTTTAAAAAATGCAACTAAAGTCCTGATATTCAAGAGTTATGTAAAATAAATAGCCTCACCTAGTTTCCAATGTTATGCATATAGCGTCTATCGATAGGACATCATCACCTCGCAGGCTAACCACTGTGAGTGACAGTGGAAGCTACGTGGTGCTATAGCCCAGTTCCTGTGCAGATAATGTAGCTTAGCCAACGTCCGCATAACTCAGTGGCTTAAGTTGCTGTCTAGTTGGAATCTGCCTCTAGCGATCATGGATTCGATCCCCAGTAGGGGATCGAGAGAATGCGCACCACTGACGAGCCCCAATAGAGCGAAGCGCGTCTAGTGCTTTCCTGGACTAGATTGTGCTGTGTACCTTGTGAACTACTGGGGTGAATACCTTAAACATCTATTGTTATTCTTACGATATGAATCCTAGCAATAGGATCCACCGCAATTTAGTGCTCGGATCAAAGTTGATCAACTGAACTGTACTGAACATTACTACCGTGCAGAGGACAGGGTAGCCCTTCCCCACCTAGCGACGAATCTAGCAAACAAAAGTCGCCAAATAATTTATGGAATAGCATTCAGTTTGGTCTGCGCAATGGTTACAAGGGAGTGGTAGGGGAGCTGAATGGCATAGGTAGAAAATCATCACATTTAGTTCCAGTTAGATTCTTTATGATCTTCCGTGTCCTTGAGATCATATCATGAAACAAATGAGACTGATGTAAATGGTAGCCATGAACAAGTTGAACACTGCAAAAAACAATGATACGTATGCAATGCAACGATGGAATATAATCCACCTTCCTCGGACTGATAGAAAGACAAGTTTCTGCCAGCATTGGTGAAGCGAAATTATACAGACGATATGTGGATGATATTTTAGTCTTCACCAGCGGAGAACATTTTAACCGGCTGCTGACCATCCTAAATTCCATTCACCCAAATCTGTCAGTATCCCATGAAGTGGAACAACACAATTGTCTACGTTTTTGGATGTACTCATTAGGAGACGGGCTGAAGGTACGTTGCAGCGCAGTGTTCACTGCAAATCGACTTGGACTGGACAGTACCTTCATTTTTTAAGCTTCGCCTCGATCGCATAAAAACGCGCCTTAGTGAGAACTCTCTTCTACCGGGCTAGACGTATTTACAGCCCCGAAACGTTACAAGCCGAAGAAGAATTTCTAGCCAAGACCTTAATTTCTAATGGATATCCTGAGAAGTTTATTCAGGTACAAAGCAGACCTTCCAGCGTGAAAACACCAGTGTTGAAGGTTGAGAAAAAGATGTTTATTTGTTCTTGCCGTTCAAGGGGGGCCATGTGACAAATGATATCGGACGCGAGCTCCCGTCTGCCCTAACGCGAACCTACACGACAGCCCAGTTGCGACTCAGGCATACCACGCGAGCACTTCATAACCGTCAGAGCATCTCGTCGGGTAGCTCGGCCTCTCACGTTGTTTATCAGTTCACCTGCGGTTGCGGTGACATTTACATAAACAGAACAAACCGTCAGTTAGCTCAGAGGGTAGCTGAATATTTGCCAAAGTGGTTGGGACAAGTGATTACGCAACAACATAGGACGAATCAGAAAATCAATCGGAGCCCGGCATCGTCTATCACCAAGCATCATCACTTGGCAACTCGACAACGGGTGAACCCGGAGACTGTCTCCAAGGTGTTAGTATGTAACAACAACCAGATAATTTCGGCAATTGGTGAGAATTTGCTAATTAGGGCTTATCAACCTGTGTTGTGTGCACAGAAACTATTGAGACAATCAATTAGGTTACCATGGTCTTGATTTTGACATCTTGATTGGTGTGCAAATTTTTCGGAAATCGTCAGCAATGTGCATTTCATCGCACGCTTGTAGAATTCGAACCCGAAACTCGACTGTTGCCAGATTGTGCTTGAAATCACTGTGCTGCGGCGACGGCAAGGACAATCGTGACTAAGTTACTAGATGTGATATAACACCGCTTACTATTCACTTACTGGCGTATTACTGCCGTCCAGAGGATATGGTAGACCCCTCATTAACCAACGAAGTTACGAAGCTTAGGTCGCCAATCAACATAGGACATCATAAACAGTTGGTTTGCGTAATGATTACACAGGAACAGCAGGAGGAGTTGAATGACATAGGTAGAAATTCATCACATTGCGAGCGGCGCTATATCACGTCTAGTAACTTAGTCACGATGGCAGATACGGTCCCCCGTAGCGCAGTGATCTCAATCATAGACTGGCAAAAGTCCAGTTGCTGGTTCGAGCTCTACAAGAATCAGATGGAATGCGCACTGTTGACCATGCTCGAAAGGAGGAAACGGCAGTACAGTGCTTTTCCGGGCGTGTGATAGCTGTCTGACCGAATCTAGATGTGATAAATTGCTATCTATAATAGAGAGTAAATTAACACGCGACCGCGATGAGATCAGAAATTCAGCGCAGGTAAAATGGTAGAAAATAAGGGAAAATATCTGCAAGAAATACCCTTCTTGAAGCAAATCGCATATGAGTTACAGCAAAACAGTTAAGACATGCATTGCCGCAACGATGGCAGAGTAAAAACAGAACTCATCAAAGAGGACTCACTTGTATGTCGAAAAGAGCGACGGTGCAGATTCCAAGCCAACTGTGCAGACTGTACAGATGTGGAATGTTGAAGATGTCGTGCATTTCGAACACGGCGCGGATGCCGATAACGGAGAAGAGAAAGGCAAGAATGTGTAGAACCGCATGAAGCACCTTGATTGGTAATTTGCGGTAGTTGTTGAAGACTCGGTACACGAGGATAGCTGCACGAGGGCGATTCGAGAAGGGAGATGAATTGGTTACTGCTTCGAGGCAAGAAGGTGCAAAACCGAGTATGAAAAGCAGCATGATGCTGATACTGGCAAGTTGACAACGGAACAAACAATTTACGGGGAAATACGTGTGAGCAATGAGCGTGTTTGACGCCCTGTTTATTTCACAGGAAGAGGAAGTGAACCTTTCAGCACCGTTATTTCATGGCTGGGCCACGTGTTGCGCATGCCAGCACACCGGCTCCGGCGAAGTGCGCTATTGGCGCGCCGGTGGTGTGGATGGAAGAAGAGGAGGAAGGCGAAGTGATGACTTGTTCAAGAGGAATGAAGGCCCTTAGTTCGAAGTTGGCCTCGGTTGGAGCCTCTAGGCTTCCTGGTTGGGGTTCGAAAGACGTTTGGCTGGATGCACTTGTTGACGTGGCTAGAAACCGACCTTAGTAGCGTTTGTGTTGTGAGTTTCTTTGTCCCTCATCCATCAGCTTATCCTCCCCCTCCAGCCACGATCTTATTTCCTAGGCATAATAGCGAGCTGGTAGCTCTCAGGAACGATGCCCATACGTGACTGGTGGCTCAGTTGGCGTGCAGATTTCGTTCTACTTTGCTTATGTATTGCAGCACAATAGCTAAGGTGTTTTTTCACCTCTAGCTAACGTGTATAATAATGATCATGAGGCAAACGGAATCCGGTCATGAGATGTGGTGGAGTTGGGAGAAGACAAAATCAAAAAATCCGCACCTCGGATGCGGTCCACCCAGTGATCGCAATCACCAACGTTCGCTTAGATGTATGACGGAGACCAAATGGAGGTGAAGCGTCTCAAACCAAACACGCCATCTGCACCCCCAACCTAAAAGATCTAGTCGCAGTACCAAGGATTGACTGCAGCACCCAATGACACAGTGAGCAACGCGTTAGTGGCCAGCCACTACGTACAGGGGGCTCCAAACCCAGCTCCGTCCAAACAAAGACGAAACCGGTAGTGCAGCGCAAGTTTGGGGGCCAGCAACACCACAGCAATCGATAAACGCAAACCTTGGCCTCTCAGAAATCAGCCGCAAGTATTGAAGAGTAATCAGGCAGTACAGTGTTAGTATATTGCAGAAGAATGAATACCCAGAACAAGAGAGACACAAACTACCGTTGAAGCGTCGAGTTTACTTAGCTGGCAATGAAAGTACGTGGATTGAATATAGCTAACTAAATCCAAACAAAGCGCCGAACTGGCATAACTTTTGCTTATCGATAGGTATTTCCCTCAATCTGAAAAAACGCTCATGTTTGCGGTTGTCATAAATTATGGAAGACAATAAAAGCTGGTAAGAAACCTTCGTTGCGACGCGCAATCTAAATGGGGACCATCATTCGCATTGAACATAGGTCATTTTGATCACCAAGACCGTGACTGTTGTAGCAGATGGATATTGGGTATTGTCTGACAGAAAAGTGCTTTCTACGACAAATTTCGAACTTCATATTCTCATCAGCAGGAAATCAAACTCTGGGCATTCGGAATATTAGCCGAAACCTCTCCCCATAAGCCACTGAGTCTCTGTGGGTAACACTTGTCAAAACGGTTACTGACTGATTGGAGGGGCCATGGTGAAGCATTCGTTGTGTGAATTGGTCACGACGCGTAATCCCAACGTGGAGCGCGATCCGTAATGGAATTAGACCTAGTTATTTCGATCAGTTGGATCATAAATGAGGAAGCACATGGGCAACATCTAAATAAGCTTACAAAATTGAAATCTTTCGAGTGGTTTCGTCGTTTTTGGCCTCGTCAGCAGTTTGTACTTCATTCCCCTGTCGAGCGACTAGAACTAGAGACCCTTCGTGGTGGTGCTCAAGATTGTTAAGGGGATTGATCCAGTAATCAATGCAATTGATCCACATCCCCTACCGTCAAACTAAACACCTCGCGTCAGCATGACTGCTCACATACACAGTGAAAGGAGTTGTGAAAATTGGTGAACGAAGTCAGTTTTACTTGCCTGCAAACAACTGGCAGCTATGTATCAAATCATCGGAGAACGTGCCGGTGTCGTCGAACCACATCATGAACGATCAATGAACGCAACGCTACGGTCAATGCCAAACTTATGACAGCAAGTGAGATCTCTATAGATGACGATCACACACGTCCAGTCCATTGAAATCGATGGCGGAAAACAAGCGGTGGGTGAAGCAGGAGATAGCCGATAAGAGAAACCGGTAAGTGAAGGATTAGTCCGTCAAGCTATCTAAAGTCCAACTTGATAGAGGTGCCCACAGAAGTAGGTCATCCTGAGGATCAACCAGAGAGTGTAAGACTGTTTTGTAAAACTAGAGATTTGTGTTTGCCTGGAAGTCACCCGTCTGACAAATTGCGGAACGAAGGTAAGATCCATGTTATCTTGTCTAAAACCATTGTTTATTCTGGTATGTGTGGCACTGAAAGTTGCAGACCACAAATACACAGACCATCGTACCACGTCGGAGTGCATCATCGTTAGAAGAGCACTGGAGGCGCCCTTCCAACGCACGCCATATTTGCCCCTATATTAACGGTTTTCAAAATAACGGTTTGTTGGCACACTTTCCCACTTGTACTACTTGATGCAGTCCGCTGCACTCAGAGGACGAAATAACGCGAATCAAATTAGGTGCATAGCAGCCCTCTCTGCAACATGGCGGTGAGGAGAGATGCATAAGTGTTTATGTGAATAGCTTGCATGTATCGAAACTGGATTGACGTATCCCATCGGGAAAATGAAGCAGCAAACGAATGAGCGTTAGCATTTGCTTGTTGTTATATCTAACGTAGTTTCTGAACTATAACTGCTCTCTATACTAAGAGGAGTGTGCAAAAAGAAACCGAACTTTTGAACCAACGCAGAAACTGGCAGAAGGAGCGCGCTGCGGCCACTGAGCGCATGTGGTGGTTTGCTTAGATTACAAGCTGCCATTTGTCCCATTTCGTTCTGTTACTTGGCGAGCTACAGCCGCGGAATTGAGCACGTGCACTAGCTGTTCGTCAGATCAGTGCCAAAGAGGTAATGAACAAGCTTAAAGAACAACGCAATTGGCAAGACGTTTACAGACATATCAATTGCTTAACGGGTAAAACTGTGAGTCGCACCTATTGCTATGAGTGGTTTAAATGCTTTGAACACGGCAAATTGTTGATCGATGACGGTTCCAAGCTTGGACGAATTTCCACATCAAAAGAGGATGAGCATGTTGAGATAGTCTATGCTGTGATTCGTGGAAATCATCGTTTCACTGTTCGAGAAGTTGCTGTCGAATTGGGCATCAGCGTAGGATCACGCCACCAAACACTAGAGCGTTTAGGGATGCTGTGAACAGGAAGAGGCCTGAACTGTGGGAATACCATACTTGGATGTTACATTAAGAGAAAGCGCCAGTTCATGCATCGCTCCTTGTCTGTAACTATCTAGCAACACATCCCACTCCGTTGTACCCCTTCCGCCGTATTCTCCAATCCTAGCCCATGCAGACTTTATCTGTTTCCAAAATTTAAAACCACCTTGAAAGGACGTAGTTACTAAAGCACGGAGGAGATTTAGGAGAAAACGACAACAGACTTGCGCGATATCCCAGAAAATGTTTTCCATGCCTTCCAAAAATGGAAGCACCGTTAGGAACGGTGTACTACTTTTAGGGAGGAATATTTTGAGGGAGAAATTCCTTACAATGTTGTGCAATGAGAAGTAAGATTTTATAGCAAAAATTCAGTTTCTTTTTGAATACTCCTCGTATCTCGTGTGTCCATATTAGATCCCCGCTTCAGATTCCTATTTTGTAGCAATGCAGTTAGGTCGGCGGACACTGAAAATGTGGTTTACTTTGTTCATTCTAATTTTAATTTTCACATCAACAATCCTAAAAGACTTGTCAAGCACATGCTCTTTTACTCGTGATAAATCCTTTTTCATGTTGCATGCACTATTGGTGCGATATAAGGTTGTTAAATATCTATTAATGCGGCTGTTCAGAGCTGACGTGTAAAATCGTGCATGGGAATAGAAGAAGAGGTTGGGAATAGGTATATAATGTATTTTAATCGAAAATTAAATTTGGGGATGAAGCGTCTTGTTACCAAGAACACTAACACACAAGTTAGAAAAGAACTTTCGGAGAAACTTAAAATCCCTAGTCGCCGGATTTGCGCAGTGCATGCACACTGCTAAGCAGTTCCTTTTACAAGCTGCGCGGTGTCAAGATGGAGGACGATGAAATTATGTTATCATTTGATGTTATTGCTCTCTACCTATCGATCTACCGCCAGGTTACCAAGGAGACCATGATGCAGTTATTCCGAAAACAACCGAGCAAAACAGGAAGGTGTGTGAGATCAGTTGGATCGATGCATGGTTAGTTATTTGTTTGATGTACATAAATATCATTAACTGAAAGAAACGCCAATGGGGTCACCCCTGTCAAGGTTCAAAGCCGAAGCTGTACTTCAGACATTGGAGCACATTACGGTGTCATCGGTCAATCCAAAGGTTTAAAACCGATACGTTGAGGACACACTTGTCATAATATAACAAAAGTTAGTACAGCATTAAGATGATTATATCAACAACAAATTCTAGGCTATCAAGTTCATCATTGAATTGCAAGAAACTCATAAAATGCCATTCTTGGATTTTTTGATTTACGTGGAATCTGACGGAGTAATTCAACCTTGTGTAAATCGCAATAAGATGTATACGGTTCAAATATTGAATCTCTACAATAACCACCTAATTAATCACAAAATATTGCTGTACACAAGCTCTTTTCAGGGGCGCGGAGACACAATGCAGCATAATGGATTGAGAAAGGAGGAAAGGAACCATCTATATCGCGTGTTACAAAACAACGGATATCCACAAAGCATTACAAGAAGCCTAAAGAGGAGAAAGCCTCAGCATTTGCCGTAGCAGACAAACAAAAGAGTAGTGTTTCCCTACATCAGAAAGTGACATCTCCGTTACTTCAAACGCACAATCACCGTAGCACACAAATTAAGTGCTACTCTAAGTGCTTTCCATGAAACACCGATGAACAAAATCAAACAAGACAGTCAA